AAAAAAAAGAAACCCCCCTTTTTTTTATGGGATTTTGTCGGGGGCCCCCCCTGTCCCCTTTTTTAAATTAAACCCCCCCCCCCCCCCCCCCCCCCCCCCGTTTTTTTTTTTAGGAATGGAGTTCAACAAACTCTTCTACAGCGAAGAGAGTTCATTTGATATCTTCCCAGAGGGCGAGACGAACCCGATGGTTCCTACCCATATTGGCGACTTGGCCCAACATTCCTCCTCGCAGCCGATGTTGCCTGATAATGTTGACGTTGTCGCCGAGATGGACATTTCGGAGAGACGCAAGAAGAAAGAGGTCGTGACTGGTTCTTCGTCGCGCAAAAGGGTTCGCGGTTCTTCAGATCATCAATCCCCAAATATTATCGACTTGAGTTCGAGTGCGGGCATTGGGGTGCAGGCCCAATTAGGCTTGACTCCTGTGAGGGAGGGCTTTAGCTTTGCGGAATGCGAGGATGGTGCCGAGATCGGCAAGATATTTCGTGAGCAGGAGACTCCTAGAGATCGCGAGTTGTGGGGCAAGATGAGCTTGGATCATCGCATCGATCGTTCTAATTATCATTTGGCCAAGGTATATCGGCTATTTCACTTCTTCTCCTCTTTCTCCTTTTTTTTTTTTTTTTTTTTTGCGAAGTATTATGTTCTCACCATTCTAGTCCTTGTACAGTTGCAAACCTTGTGGGCCACCTGCCCTTCCCAGCGAAGTGATACCCTCCGCGAGGCATATAACCGGTTGAAGAAAGATCGCAAGCAGCTGAATGACGAGAAACAGCTGGTGGAGAAGCGAAACGAAAGGTTGGAAGAAGACCTGAGCAATTTGCGCGTGGAGGTCGACTCGCTTAAAGATAAGATGGCTTTGATGGAGGAAGAGCATAAGCATACTCTTAGCCAACTGTCTGAAGCCATGGACAACAATTCTCTGCGATATGAAGAGGGTCGTCGTTTGGGTCAGATGGAATTCCTTCATACTCCCCTTGGAGAGCGGTTTAGGGACGAGTTCGTGAAGGCTTTTCTGGCGAGACTTTGGAAATCCATGCTTTTCTTCCGGAGGGCTCTTCCCGTTTCCAAATTCTTCTGGTCAGAAGGGATTCGGGTTGCACAAGCGGAGATCGATGCTGCGGGGTTCTCACTGAAGCTAGATGAAAAAGAGATGTCAAAGAAAGCCAGTCAGAACATCCCCGGTTGGGGAGGAGATCCTTCTGAGCCCGCGAACTTAGCTTGGTGGACGCCTATCTTCTCATCCGTTGCGAACCAACTATGTCCTCGCCCATCCGAGCAGGCTGGTCCTTCGACGGCGGCGGTTGTTGGAGGAGATACTGAAGAGGATGCTCTGGGAGATGCTGTTGACGCTTATAACCCTGTTGATGATGAAGGTGGTGCGACTCCGGATGATCTCGCCGAAGGGTCACCCGCATAGATTAGGGGTACCCTCAAGAATTTTCCATTTTGAAACTTTCGGTCACCCGCATAGATTAGGGGTAGTTTCCGTTAAAATCTGTGGGAGTTTAAACATTCTGTGTTCTTCTTTTTCTTTTGCTGTCCTAAACTAATATTCTATCTATGCTATTTTTGCTAGTTTATGAGATGTGTTTTCATACCTTGCGATTTGTTGATGTTAGTATGGCTTGTCGTTGTATATGTTGATGGACTAGCTCGCACGAGACGGCTGATCTTTCCAGGTTCTCTAGGATCGCGTCGCGAGTTTTTTTTTTTTTTTTTTTTTTTTTTTTTTTTTTTTTTTTTATCACTGCTACCTTTCGGATCAAAAAACACGGGAATCTTCCAACCCTTTTCTACACGCTCGCATCTATTTTTCGGGCCGGAGCCACGGGGATCTTCCAGCCCTGTTCATATTTTTGCGACTACCTTTTGGGCCTTAGCCACGGGGATCTTCCAACTCTTTCTATATGTTTGCGACTACCTTTTGGGCCTTAGCCACGGGGATCTTCCAACCCTTTCTATATGTTTGCGACTACCTTTTGGGCCTTAGCCACGGGGATCTTCCAACCCTTTCTATATGTTCGTGACTACTTTTTGGGCCTTAGCCACGGGAATCTTCCAACCCTTTCTACATGTTCGCGACTACTTTTTGGGCCTTAGCCACAGGGATCTTCCAACCCCTTTTTTTTTTTTTTTTTTTTTTTTTTTTTTTTTTTTTGCAATAAAACAAAAAGAGACACATGCAAGAGATTTTTTTTACGTGGAAACCTCTCGAAGTGAGAGGAAAAACCACGGGGCCGAAACCCATGTGCGAAAAGATTCACTTATTGAGGAGAATTACATTTTTTTTTTTTTTTTTTTGCTAACCTGTAATTGCGATCTTGTTATGCGTAGAACTTCCTAAGATGGCATACATTCCATGTTCTTGGTATCTTTTTGCCTTTTCGATCTTGTAGCTCGTAGGCGCCACTCGCTGCGACCTTCGTTCCTGTGTAGGGACCTTCCCAATTAGCCTCTAGCTTGCCCGTAGGTTTCAGTGCATCGGCTCGCCGCAATACAAGATCGCCTACTTGAAAACTTCTCGGATTGACTCTTCGGTCGTAGCTGACTTTGATGCGATTTTTGCTATCTCTCATCTTTAATTCTGCTGCTTCTCTCTTTTCGTAGCAAAGATCTAAGTGTTCTCGCATCATTTCTTCATTCTCTCTGTCATCATATTCGCGAACCCTTAATGATTCCAAGCCTATCTCGACAGGCACAATCGCTTCCATCCCATAAACTAAACTGAAAGGTGTCTCTCCGGTAGCCCTTTTAGGTGATGTCCGATAAGACCATAGAACCGAGTCTAATTCTTCTACCCAACTACCGCCTGCCTTTTCCATGCGTTTCTTTATACCGTCCACCAAGATTATGTTGATTACTTCGACTTGCCCGTTTGCTTGTGGGTGTGCCACAGATGTGAAACGTTGGGTGACCTTCATCTCTGTGCACCACTCCGTTATCTTTTTACCATTGAACTGCGTGCCGTTATCTGATATAATAATTCTAGGGACTCCGAAACGGCAACAAATGTTTTTCCAAATAAACTTCATCACCTCATCTTCAGTGATTCGCGATAACGCCTCGGCCTCTACCCACTTTGTAAAATAGTCTACGGCTACGATCAGGTACCTCTTTCTGCGAATAGCCATGGTAAAGGGGCCCACCAGATCTATCCCCCATTGCGCAAAAGGGCACGGTGACGATATGATTTTCATGGGTTCCCCTGGCTGACGTGCTACGATGGCATGTGCTTGACAATTAGGGCATCGTCTTACATATTGCGTGGCTTCCGTTTTCATTGTGGGCCAGTAGTATCCCGCCCTCAATAGCTTTTGTACTATAGTTCTCGCCCCTTCATGGTTGCTGCACCATCCTTCATGTACTTCTTTCAGCACATACTCAGCTTCGCTGCTTCCTAGACATCTAGCATCTACATGCGAATACAATCTCTTAAACAGGGTCTCGCCTATTAAGTAGAAGTGCCGGGCCTTGTATTCCATTCGTTCTCGCGTGCGGCGGTCTGAAATTGTATTTCCTCTGAGATAAGTAATGATTGGTGTTCGCCAATCTTCCTGATCTTCTACCCTTGCAACAAGTTTTTCACTACCACTTCCTAAGAAACGTCCGTTAGCTGATAATATGGTTATATTCCGCTCGCTGCAGTCCGCGGATGAACTGCCTATTTTGGACAAGAAATCAGCTTGTGTGTTTGATTCTCGCGGGATCTGGATGATTTCGCACTCTTCAAAGCTTTCGACCAATGTTTTGATAACTTTCACATATGCTTCCATTCGTACTTCTTTGATCTCATATTCCCCCGCTAGTTGTTGCACGACTAATTGAGAGTCGGAGTGAAGTTTGGCTTTTTTTATGCCCATTCTTTGTGCTATCTCTAGTTCTTCCGCCAAGGCCTCGTATTCGGCTTCGTTATTGGATGCTCTACCATTAAACTTTATGGCGAAGTGGAACTCTTCCTTGTTGGGCTTTATAAGCAACACACCTGCTCCTGCGCCTTGATTTGTGGAAGATCCGTCCACATATACTTCCCATGGCTGTGAGTTTTCAATGCGCGTGGTTTCCTGTAGGAAATCCACCAACGCCTGCCCTTTTATTGCGGTCCGGGGCTCGTATTCGATATTGTACTGGCCTAATTCCACGGCCCATTTGACCATGCGCCCAGATGCTTCGGCGTTCCCTAACGTCTGTCGTAGGGGATAGCTGGTCCTTATTATTATAGTATGGGATAGAAAGTATGGCCTTAATCGCCTTGCTGTTGTGATGAGTGCCAGACCAATCTTTTCGACCTCGGGATAGCGAAGTTCGGCGCCTTGTAAGATTTTACTTACATAATACACAGGCAACTGCCTTCTGTCTTTCTCTCTGAACAATATCGAGCTGATGGACTCACTCCCTGCAGCTAGGTACATGCAGAGAGTTTCTCCTTCTTCTGGGGGAGATAGCGAAGGGAGTTTCGAAAGGACCTGTTTCAGATTCTCGAAGGAGGTTTGGCATTCCTTCGTCCAGGTGAACTCTTTCCCCTTTCGTAACGCTCGAAAAATAGGAAAACTATGTTCGGCGAGTCGTGATACAAACCGACTGAGTGCTACGACTTTTCCCGCCAGCGTTTGTACTTCTTTGATCGTCCTTGGGGCAGTCATTGCCGTGATCGCCTTCACTTTTTCTGGGTTAACTTCTATGCCCTGTTTAGTGACCATATATCCCAAGAATTTTCTGGTGCAGACCCCGAAGGAGCATTTAGCAGGGTTCAGCTTCATGCCATATCTTCGCAGTGTTAAGAAGGTTTCTGCGAGGTCATCTATGTGTGACGTGGCTTTGCGACTTTTTACCAGCATGTCATCTACATACACCTCTAGGTTTCGCCCTAATTGCTTAGCAAATACCTTGTCTACTAGCCTTTGGTATGTCGCCCCCGCATTTTTTAAACCAAATGGCATAACTTGATAACAGTATGTGCCCCCCGATGTGATAAAACTAACCTTAGGTTGGTCTATGACGTCTAATCTGACTTGGTGATATCCTTGCGATGCATCCATCATGCTCAATAATTCGCATCCTGCTGTAGCATCTACCAGCTGATCTATCCTGGGGAGCGGATAGTGATCTTTAGGGCATGCGGCGTTGAGGTCCCGAAAATCTATGCACATGCGCCATTTACCGCTTGGCTTAGCTACTAGAACAGCGTTTGAAAGCCATTCAGGGAATTGGATTTCGCGTATGTGTCCGATTTGCAGGAGTTTGTCCACCTCCTCTTTGATGATGGCATCTTTGATGGCCCCGAAATGCCTCTTCTTTTGTTTCACTGGTCGAACCTTCGTGTTAATGTGCAGCTTATGGACCATGATGCTTGGGTCTATTCCAGTGAGATCTTCCGACTTCCACGCGAATACGTCCGAATTATCTAGCAACAAACCGATCAGCTGCTCCTTCATTTCTTCATCTAGACTAGACCCTATTCGCGTGATACATTCTGGGCGATCGGGTATCACTTCGACCTCTATGAGTTCTTCGCTGGTGCTAGCGTGGGTCACCGTTGCCTCCGCTGTGTTGGTTCGTACTTTCTTCCCATCTATGGTTCCGCCTTGCGGTTCTCTGCCCCTCTTGTTCTTTTCCCCTTGACGAACTGATTCCACGTAACATGATCGCGAACTCGTTTGATCTCCAATGACCTCTCCGACTTCGTTCCCTACCGGGAATTTCATCTTCATGTGGTAAGTTGAAGGTATCGCCCGGAAGGTATTAATCAAGGGCCTCCCGAAGATCATATTATACGAGGATTCTGGCGCATCTACTATCATAAAATTAACTGCCTTGATTTTCACGAGCGGGGCCGTTCCTAGAGACACCCTAAGTTTCACTTGGCCCAACGGGCGAACTGATCCTCCATTGAAACCATATAACATTGTGGATACGGGTGCGACGTCTATCTCGAGGTCCATGCGCTGTAGGCAGTCATAAAATAGAACATTCACCGAGCTGCCATTATCCACGAAGACCCTCGAGACATCGTAACCAACAACGTTAGAGGTTATTACTAGTGCATCTGCATGCGGTGTATCTAGGGCGCATCAATCGTGAGGCCCGAAGGAAATAATGGGGTGAGCTTCAGCCTTGACGCTAATTTGGTTGATTTCGGCTTTCTTGATGGTTTGAAGACGGTAACGTCGCGCTCGGTTTGAATCTCCGTCTGTCGGGCCACCAATGATCATACTGATGAACCCTCTTTTTGTTATAGGTTCTGCCTCATCTTCTCCAACTCTTCGCCTTTTCTCGCTATCTCCACTTCCTTTAGAACTTTCTTCCATGACATATTCCGACAAGGCTCCTAATCGCACCAATCTTTCTAATTCGTCCCGCAAGGTGAAGCACTCATTGGTATCATGACCATAATCATTATGGAAGTGACAATATCCGCTCGCGACTGCTGTTCCCCTTGGTGGCTCGCTATGCCCCCTTGGCCATCGTAGTTTGGGGTGTTTGGCTATACGCTCGAGAATAATAGATTTGGGTAAAGCGAGCTCTGCATACCTGTCGAAACGGGGATCTCCTATCTTGAATTTGGGTCCTCCTGATGTAGGGAACTGGTTGCTCCTTCTCGCACTAGGGGAGTAACGTGTCTCCGGTT